GGGCAGTTGTTTCTTCGAAAATTTGTTGTTGGGTAATTTAACTTTTTGAGTTCCAAGTGTATTTTAGATATGAGACCCTTTTTTTTTTTTTTTCCAATCCATGGGTTTTATATTGATCTTGCTAGCTATGTCCATTGTCATGCAGAAGTTTTGCAGCTTCATGCAATCCCATTTGTCCAACCTTTCTTTGATTTGTTGTCAAACACTAATTCTATCCTTTTAGTGACTCCGATTTTCTGTGATTCATTCTGTGATTTAGTTGAATAGAGAAATTATATAAATTATATTAAGAAACTGGAATAACAACTGTACAATAAGTGGACATGTTAAATTGTTGCTCCCTTGTCCAACCATTCAAAAAATAAAAATTAAAAGATGATATTAGAAAAAATAACATTTATTAATGTTTGTGAAACAAAGTTAATGTTTATTAAATATCATTAGGCATTGTGAAATAATGTATTTTTTGTTTTATTGTAATTTTTCTCTTGTATTTATCTGTGCTCACTGTAATTCACATTCATATTCATATGTAATTCCCATTCATAATTCATATTCACATCTACTTTTAAAGATGTCTGTGAACTATTTTGGATTTTCACTCTTGGGCTGGGTTCAAACATGAGATGGATTCACATTTTATGTTTGGTTATTTTAAGTCTTGATTCTGCATTATAGAAAAATTATGTTATATTTATCTTTTTTAAATCTTACTTTATTATAAGGGTGATGTACAAAGGGGTTACAGTTATGTAATTAAGCTAATGAGTAAATTCCTAAGCTGAGTTTATTTCACTTCACATGTTATTCTCCAGTTCCATCCTCTTTCCTGGAAATAAGGTAATTTCAATTTTGTTAATGCTAAATAACACTCCATTGTGTACTTGTAGTAGAATGTCTTTATTTATTGATTGATAGGTACCTAGGCTGATTACATAGTTTAATTATTATTTGCTAACTTGGTAATACACTGTTAATATCAAAAGTTATATTTGATAAACATTAAACATGAGAATGTTTACATTCGAAAAATGATTTTACTATCATATATAATTATTTAAAGCCTTATAGACCTTTGCAGAGTTCTTATCAATCTTATTATTTAAGTAAGAAATTAGTTTTCATGTATACACACAATACATACACATATATATGAATGTATATACACTGCGTATATACACATGTGCAGTTCCAGTGTTCTCATATATTGTGTTTATGTTCATCAGCAGTTTTTGTTTTCTTTTTGGATGGTGATAGTAGAGCATCATATACACTAGCCGTTCTACCACTTGAAACATGCCTTTAGCCTTAATATTTTGCTGATTATTCTAGGAGATGCAGTCTAGTAAACTTATCTTTTATCAAACAATAATCCTCCAAATCTGAGCTTCCTGAATAGCTATGATTACATCTGTAAGCCAATGGCATGTTTGTCTTCATTAGCATTTTTTGGTCCGTCCTGGGGCTTGAACTCTGGGCCTGGGCACTGTCCCTCAGCTCTTCAGCTCAAGGCTAGTGCTCTACAACTTGAGCCAAAGAGCCACTTACAGTCTTCTGGTGGTTAACTGGAGATTAGAGTCTCATAGATTTTCCTGCCCAGGCAGGACTATGATCCTCAGATCTCAGCCTCCTGAATAGCTAGGATCACAGGCATAAGCCACCCGTACCTGGCTTCATTAGCATTTTTGTCAAATGAGAAATTGGTAACAACAGACTTGTAGGAATGGACAAAATTACTCTTTTGCTAGTCAAGACTGACAATGCCATAGAGAAACAACGAAGATAATAACATCATGGCCACCTCAATGTCCCTGACCGATCCACAAATGTTCATATTATTGCTTCATTACTATAGTTTTTTTCCATTTGATATCTCATTCTAAAGAAGTTCCCATTTTTTCCATTTTTGTATTTATTTAACTTTATTTTATTTATTTTGCCATTCCTGGAGCTTGGGCTCAGGGCCTAGGCAATGTCCCTGAGCTTCTTTTTCTCAAGGCTAGCATGCTACCAACTGAGCCACAGCACAACTTTGACTTTTTCTGTTTATATGGTATTGAAGGATCAAACCCAGGACTTCATGCATGCCCTATCATTAAACCACATTCTTTGCACATTTCTATTTTTTTGTTTTGAGATTACAAAATGGATCTTATTTCAGTGTTGGAGATTGAACCCCAGCCTTATGCATTCCAGGCAGGTGCTCTACTACTAAGAGAAATCTCCAATCTTTAAGAATTAAAAAAAAAATCATGATGACCTCTATAACTATGCATATTTTTCTGCATAATTTTAAGTAATGTTAATGGATGAGCTAGGAATTCTCATTGAGCTACTTTATATTTCAGGAATCTAATTAGGAATGCATTTACTTTCTCTTTCTTGGTGATTCATTCCATATAACACTTTCAGCCTAAGGTTACTCCAAAATAAAAATAGAAAGAGAAAAAAGAAGTTGTATTTCTACCAAACTAATAAACTGGTTACTGAAAAAAAGAACCAAGCATTAACTTGGAAATGTTGTTTCCATTATATAAATTATTTCCAGGTTAATTAAGTAAATCCTTTGCTTCATTATACCATCAGTAAATTAAAGTGTGTTGGCTTTCATTGCTTGTGATTTACACTAGGGAATCTTTTTCAATAAATATATTAACTTTGCCCACAACTTTCGTTATTGTTGGTTTTTTTTTTTTTACTACTTTTATATAGGATTTAGCTAATTTTTATTTAATTTTAACAGGTGATGTACAGAGGGGTTGCAATCACATAAATAAGGTAATAGGTACATTTCTTGTCAAACAATGTTATTCCCTCCTTCATTTTTTCCCACTTCCCTACCCGCCCCCCTGCCCCACACTTCTTCAAGTTGTAAAGTTCATTTCCAATATAGTGTCATGTGAGTATCATTGTTACATTGGTTCACCCTTTGTCTTTTGTCTCTCCATTTTGTGACTCTCCTTCCTTACCCCAAATCAGATAAATGTATATACAAGACACAGGGTACCAAAATCAAAAACAGTGACAACAGGGATAAACAAAACAGAAAAAGGAAAAAGAAATAATTTCATACAGTACATTAAAAAAAATAAAAAACAACCTCTTGTTTCCATATCTTGGAGGAGTTCATTTCAATTAGCATCATTTTATATTTGCCCACAACATAAAGCCAATTGATTTTATGTTGAGAAAGCTATTCTTAGTAGAAATACACACACACACACACACACACACACACACACACACTAACTGCTGGGATTAAATTTGTGAAATTTAACTCAAGTGTAAAGATTTTTCTTCCCAGGAAGTGGCGCTGTGGCTCAAGTGGTAGAGCTCTTGCCTTGAGCAGAAGATTTGAGGGACAGTGCCCAGGCCCAGAGTTCAAGCCATGACTGACAAAAAAAGAAAAAAAGAAAAAGAAAAAAGATTTTCTTTCCAAACAAATATGATAAAAAAATTGAGATCTTTTCTTCAAGTCTTCTTTTAATACAAAGCTCAAAAAGCAACACAAGAGAAGCAAATCTTGTAATAATTGAATAAATCATGTAGGAAAAGAGAAAGAGTATTAAAAAATATACATTGAAAAGAACCTATAATAAAATAATTATTTTATTTTATTTTATTGATCATCTGCATACTAACACTTGTCATTTTGAGCCACAGTTACAGTTAGGATGAATTAACCACAGTATAAACTAGATATAGCCTTCTTCTGTATGTCTTAGAAGAAATCCTTCCCCTTGAATTCCATCACATTAACAAGACCATACTAATTGTTTTTTAATGATACATAATTAGTAGTATTGTAATTTATGAACAAATTCTTAACAGTAGCCTTACATTTCTTTAATAACATGCTCATTTCTACCTAAGGCATACAGGAGTTATAATAAGACACAAAATTAAAATACGGTTATTAAATATGTCCTGATCATTTCCTTCAAGAAAATTTCAGCTGTACAACACCTAACCCCTGACAGACAAACTTTTATCAAAGATTTGTTGTCCATAAAAATGTCCCTAAAGCCATTTTTGTTTAGTAACATTTTGATACCCACCTATATCCAACAGTAACAAGGGAAACCTAAACCACAAAATATATAGGAAGAAGAAAACATAATTGAGGCAGATAAACTAGAAAAAATGCAAAATAATTGATCATAAGTAGATACTAGAAAAAACTTATTTTTTCCATGAGCAATTGTCTACTTTTCAAATCTTATGAATATAAATATTATTATTAGTGTATTTTCATGATTCACAGAAGTTAGGAAAATCAGAGACAGAATCAGAGACAAAGATATGGGTATTTGTTTAGCAGCTGAATGTAGTATTACATTAAGCATTTTGTAGGCTCTTCAAATCTTCTGATTCCAATGCATTTTCCTACATGTGATTTTCTTTCCTTTAGTTTTTCAGTATGCATATGCATAGACTACTATAACGTCTAAATGAAATAAAGAACATCTTGTTCAACAACAACAACAACAAAACAAACACCCAAGAAAATTCTTTCTGTATCACCAACTTATGACTTTCCATGGGATGTTAGACGTCATTGAAAAAGCATTCAGTTTTCAAGAATCAAAAGATCCAGGGTTTCATTCTGTTTTCATAGCCAATTTACTCATTCCCCAAAATCATTATTTAACCTATCCTTTTCTATGCCTCAAGGTTGCAAATATTAATTGCAATGAATTCAAAATACAATCCTGAACAAATAAATATAACTATGGTTATATATAGAATATAGATTATAAATTATATAGAGAGATTATAATTTATATAAGATATAGATTATAAAAACAAGAAGTGGTAGATACTTTTAGCTCCAGAAAAAAAAAAAACACAAAACAAGATTAAAAAGAATAAATTTTTTTAAAAAATCAATGATGAGTAATGTCGATTTTGTCAGTTAATTTGCAAGATTACTGGGTCAATTTCTCATTAAGTGTTTGTAAACTTAGTAGCAATGATCAAACTGAATGGCATGGACTTACTTCTGGAGCCTGAAGAGTTCCTCGCTACTGCAAAGGAGTTGGCACTCTGCCCGGCTGCTGCAGAAGACGGACAGGGTGAAAGCATCTCCAAAACTGACTCTGAAGATGTTGTCAGAGGGAAGGGTGATCAGCTACTACATGTCTTCTCAACACCTGGCTGAATGGCTACAGGGACACTTCAGAGGAGGCAAGCACAACAACAAAAATAAGGATTAAATACTGCCTTTGGAGCATATTGAAACATTATTAACTGCCTGCTCAATCTCAAACTATATCAAGACTAAATAGAAACAAATATTTACCTGCATAAAAGCCTCTCCTGTGGAATAAGAAATAGGCTCTGGTTTCAAAGAATGTGTCAACATTCTGCTTTTAATTGTAAGGAGACGTTTTTCTGTCTCAAATGTGAATAAACTACCTAACTTTCTTCGTTACTTCATTCAACAAGTAGTATAGTGTTAAAGCATTGCATAAATGAAAGCATATTTGATCACAAACAACTACATACTAGGCACACACATGACACTGAAGATACAGCATTGAATGAGGCTGAGAAAGCCTGGCCTCCATGTAGCTTTGCCTAAAGTTTTGTTGCCTATATAGTCTTCAATAAAGAAAGCCCATCTATTTCAACACATGTGGCTATAGAGAACGTAGATATGAATGTCAGATTAATTAATCTTTTTAAAGATATTTTTATTGTGAAACTACTGTACAGAGGGGTTACAATTACATGAGCAAGGTAATAAGTACATTTCTTATCAAGTATTGCTGCCTCCTGTTTCCCCTTCCCAGCCCTTCCCATCACCCCCACCCCCACCACCCGCGCCAAAGTTGTAAAGTTCGTTTTTTAACACGTCTTGTACATCTCATTGTTGCAATGGGTCCACCTGTATCCATATTTAAACAATTTGCTTTTTCCCTTCCCCTCCACGAAGTTTACCAGTATCAAATACAGTGAAAACAGAGCTTATACTGTGGGGGAGGGACATACAAAGCAACAAAGAAATCATCTTATAAATATGTTAAAAACAATCGCAAGAAAGAAAAAAAACATTTATGTCCTTGGGGTTCATTTCACCTAACATTAACTTAATGAAATTTATATTAATTTGATATGTGAAGTTTCCTGATGTCCGCAATGTAGGTTCTATATCAAACTGAATAATCTTGTTCTATGAGACACTATTTAAATTTCTTTTCTCTACTTGTATCAACTGATATTCAACTACTAACATTTTAAACTTAAATACACTCAATTTTTTAAATACTACTGAATCTCTAAAATGAGTATAATGTTACTCAGATTATGGAATTTCATCTGTGGAAGCCAAAACAAGTTATTTTCCCCAAAGCATAAAGGTAAAATAAAATGATTCAGTTCATTATTTCTACTGTTTCTATTTATAAATGTATGTGAATGGTCAAATAAAAACTTCAGAAGGTGATTATATCATCTTAATATAGATATCCAATAGTTAAGAACTTTTTCATGAAGGTAAATTAACCTATTTGCATTGAAATTATCATAAATGTTAAGTGTCAAAGCAGATATGAACAGTTGAAAGATGGTCAATTATAGTGTATGAATTTCAATAAATGTATCTATTAAAAGCTACATACATCATGAAAGATGCTTATTATAGAATTACAGAATATTTCATACCACTCACACAAACACACATACACATGTACCTATGTAAATGAAGATCCTCAATTAGGGTTATCTCCCTGTGAGTTGACTTACTATCATGATATGAATAAAGATTCCAGATAATCTATAGGATTCTTCCCTTGTTCCCTAAAGGGTCCTATGTTAAAAGTGTGGCACCAGAGTTTTGCTATTGAAAAATGCTGTGGACTCTTCAGACAAGCCCTTGTAGGAAATCCTTGGGTCAAGGGAAGTATGCCAGTGGACTCTGTGGACTCTCTGTCCCCAGTGCTTCTTGGCTTCAGTTATTCAGACTTCTCATTCCCAAATGCATTTCTGCATTCTCATGTAGTACTTTCACCAGAACTCCACACAATGGAGTTAGCCCCAAACCTTCAGAAGACTCTTATTCAGTTGTTTGGCTCAGGTGTTTTACTGTACTGAAACAAAACTGACAAGACCGATTCTATAGTAAAGTTCACATGACAATTTCAGATCTGTCATTTTCAACACCATCTGAAAAATATTTCTTTTTCTTCTTGATAGTCTGCTAAAATTAAATCTCTTAGGAGATGCTCTTGTCAACTTTTTTTTTTGGGGGGGGGTCCGGTCATGAGGCCTAAACTCTGGGGCTGGGCTCTGTCCCTCAGCTCTTCAGCCCAAGGCTAGCACTCTACCACTGAAGCCACAGCGCCACTTCCGGATTTTTTCATTTTGCTTATGTTGTGCTGAAGAATCGAACCCAGGGCCTCAGGCATGCAAGACACGCGCTCTACCACTAAGCCATCTTCCCAGCAACCTCTTGTCAACTTTTTAAATTTCAAGCTGTTACTCTGGCCATCTTCCAATCTTAGAAAATTGGCAATTGTTTTACACTTATCTACAAAGAAATATGGTTCTCAACCTAACAATTACATTGTTAAAAAGAACCCAGGGAACATGGGGAAAATATCCTAAGCTATTAGGAAACATCTCATTTGAAGTGTAAATCTGCTACTATTGTGTATATCTGCCACTATTAGCTCACGATGGTATTTCCCAACCCTCTATAATGTCTATATTTAGTGTTCATCAGTTCAATAAAAATAGATTTCTAAGAAACTTATTATTAGCAAAGGCAATTTTTGAATCACAAATTTACTTTGAAATTTACTTGAAACAATTACTCACTTTATCTTTAATTTCAAAAGGATTTAACTATTTAAAGATAAAACATATGCTAATGTGCTCTTCATGGCATGTAATAATTTTATTTCCCATGGATGGCCTTCTTAAGCTGCTCTAAAGTTTTAGCCCATTGAAAACTAAAGAAATACTGGAAATGTTTGACTATGATAGTGGAATAATCTAAACTATTGTCTTCATTTTGAATATATACATCCTTTCACAGTTACAAATTCTTCAATTTATTTATCTGTCATAAATAATGACATGAAGGAAATTCTAATACATTAAACTTGAATGATGTTTACCTTTTCTGAAATGATTAAAAATTATGCATTCAGTTATCCAGATGTTTAATCTATATAATACAAAAATCTGCTGTTCTGAAATATGATAATATAGTCTACTTGCAATTCAATCAGTTATAATCATGGAATGATACACTGTTTAACATAATATAATCATTGTCTTCAGTGAACTACTCCAAAATTCAGGTTGTAATACAAGTGTTATTTATCAAGAGAAATAACTTGAAATAATTTAAACTAGAATAAAATGACAAGAAAGGAGAACTTATGTCATATTAATTAGTTTCTGAAATCATCAATATTCAGCACAGTCAATATAAACACTATCATTTAAACATGCAGGCCTCACCAGTAGCACTGTTGAACTAAATATAGCAAATGTAAAAGTCTAATGTAAAATTTAAATTAGAAATACTCATTGAATATGGAAATTCATTTCTGTTACTGATAAATATAGCTACCATATAGAAGAATGTTTACAAATAGTAACACTCATACAGGATCACAGGACAAATACATTAATGCACTGTAGAGCATTTACTGCTTAATGTAAATGTCACATTGAAAAAGAGAACAACTAATCATTCCTTTCCTCTAATAGCAAAGTTCAGCAGTTAAATAACACATAAATCTTAGTGACCTAAAAATTTTATTACTGCATTTGTAATTTCCATTAACTCACAGAATGTAACTTCAAATGATGCTTCATTTCAGAAAGCTATAGGCCAACATGAAATGCTTTCTGGTTTAGATGGTAGGCCAAGATGATGATCAATCTGTATTGGTTTTAAGTGATTAATTTCATTATGATAGTTTAAAATGATGCCTTTAATCACAAAAGGCATTAAATAAGTAATTGCACTAGTGAAAAAAATGTGACAATTTGATTTTAACTTTAGAAGTTCTGTTTACCAGACAGTAGTTGTAGGTAAGAAAAAATGCAAAATAAAGGTCACAAGACATCTGGAAATAATGAATGCTGGCAGGGGACAGGTGTCCTGGGACTTGAACTCAGGCCTTGGCTCTGTCTCTGAGCTTGTTTTCCTCGAAGCCAACACTTTACCACTTGAACCACAGTTCCACTTCTAGCTTTTTTGTATGTAATTAATTAGTGATAAAAGTCTCACTTTCAGGTTTTTGTTTCTTCAGTGTTTGTGGGAGGAGGGAATGGGGAATTAATTGGTGATAAGAGTCTCAAAGAATTTTGTGATGGGGCTGACTTTAAACCATGATACTCAGATCTCACCCCCCAAATTAGCTAGGATTATAGATGTGAATGACCAGTATCCTGCTTGAAATATTTGTATTTACTTCACTAACGTTTATCAAATGAGATGCATTAAAAATCTGAAAGAGCAATAAAAATGGTTTTACATTGTGTAACTCCTTCAGAACTGAAATTTGCTTAGCTCAAATCTACGCAAATTCAGAAAAAAATGAAATTATTCCCTGCATCCTGTCAGACTGCAACAGGATAAAATTAGAGCTTAACACCAAAAGCAATCACAGAAAATCCTCTAACTCATGAAGACTGAACAACACATTGTTGAATCACCAGTAGGTCAATGAAGAGATCGGAATGGAAATTCAAACATTAGTCGAATTTAATAAAAATGAGCACACTAAATACCAGTTTCTCTGTGACACAATAAAGGTAATACTCAAGAGGAAATTTTACAGCTTTGAGTGCCTACATGAACAAATTGGAGAAATCTCAAACCAACAATTTAATGATACACCTTAAGCTCCTTGAAAGGAGGATCAAGCCAAACCTCAAACCTGTAGCCAGAAACAAATAATCAAAATTAAATGGGAATAAATAAATTAGAGACTGAAAAAACTCATAGAAAGAATCAACAAAATATAGAGTTGGTTCTTTCAAAAAATTAACAAAATTGACAGACCTTTAACAAATCTGACCAAAAAAAGAAGACAATATACCCAAATAAATAAAATCAAAGATGAAAACCAAACTAAACCAAGAAGATTTAAATCAACTAAATAGACCCATAACAGACAATGAAATGGAAATGGCAATAAAGGACCTCCCATC